TTGGGGCCTGTCACCTGCACCGCTCGCAACCGCCACGGCACACAGGCCTGCTCGGTCACACTGGAGCTGGCAGGTGGGTGACAGCAGGCCTCCTTCCCTCTCCTCCATCTGAGGCCCACAGCCCCCTCCTTACACCCTCAGGGACACACACCCACCTGCCAGTCCCGGGTCTTCCCTCTTAGGCCTCTCCATCTAATGGCCATAATAATACCAGAAATAGCAATAATAACAGTAATAGTACTGGTAAGATATTTATGGAACACCTAGAATGTGCCAGGCTCAGCGCTAAGTACCTTACACATATCACCGCGTTTAATATTTACATCAACCCTATGAGATGGGGTCGGTTATTAGCCTCATTTTACAGATGGGGAAACTGAGGCTCAGAGACTGTGCTAAGTAAGGCCCAAGGTCACACAGCCTAATAAGTACAGAAGCTGGGATTCCAGTGCCTGACCCCAAAGCCAGAGAGTGCTCTTAGCTCCTGTGTTAAATACAACAGGAACTAGTACCTCAAATACAACAAGCTTGAGGAGACCAAGTGATTTAAAGAAAAAAAAAGCTCAAATGAGCACCTCTTATCACCAGCCCCCCAGCTCGGGGGTCCTGGCTGCCCCTTTTGCACAAGCCTGTTTGACGGAGCCTCCCAGCCTTTGCCGCAAGGACCCTTTTTATGATTTCTCCTTTAAGGATGTAGGTCTCTCAACCCGTAGCCCGCCCTCGGTAGTAATTGCCTTGTTTTGCGGTTTGTTAATTAACTGTAGACATATGTAACTGCCACTCAGCTTCGGCTCAGCGTGAGTTAGACTGTGTTACCTGCTGAGGAGATACAGTTGCGATCAAATGCAAAGAAAGTGACATTTTAGTTAGCAAGGCCATCTTATCATGGGGTAAATGTGCATTCTCTGGCACTTGAAAAAAATGGTTGCAGTTCACTTGAAACCTTCTGCTCCTTTGACCTTCATAGACTGACCACACCAGCAGACTAGGGACAGATTCCTGGGGGGGGCCAGGCATCTTTAAAGCGGGAGAGAAGCGTAAGGAGGGGACGTGTAAGGAGGGGATGGGGGAGCCCTCCTGGCCCCGCTGTGGATGGGGGATCGGGTGGGGCCACAGATGGTCTGGGCCCCTGCTCTCCCTTGTCCATGACTTCCTCCTTGTCCTGCTCCCCCCCAACCCCCGACCCCCATCCTGGCACTTTCTACTCAGCCACCGCTTTGCTCCTTGACAGCACCATCTGCAAGACTCATCTTTCTTCTCAGATAGAGGAGGAGCCCTCAGGTTTGGGGAGACCCTGCCCACCAACGGCCCTGCAGCCAGCTTGACTGGGGCAGTGACTGAGGGAGATTGTGTCCCAGCCAACCATGGCTAGAACAGGCCTGGGGCTTGTATCTACATGCCCTCCCACCCCCTATCCCCGGGGAGGCAGAATGGCCCCTTTCCTCCACACCTGCCCTGCTGTAGCAGGGAGCCCCGCTTCCAGAGGCCCTCCCCTTTTATCTGTCTAAATCGAGCCGTGTGCCTGTGATGAGTGGTGGTCTCTGCCCAGTGCCCCTGCTCTTCTCTCAGGACCTGATCACTCCTACCTGCCTTAAAGCCGAGATCCCCAAACATTCTCAGGAAGGGGGACGCCGGAAAGTCACAGGCTTCTCTGAAAAGCACGTTGGAATATGTATTTAATTCCATCCTGAGAGTGAGAAGCTGCTTTCCCAGGAAATACACGAGCCCTATGTGCGGAGAACAAAATCACAGGCATATGTGGGAGAACTAAGCCGAGCATCGGGACCTGTTAGTTTGTCTTGCCACCTCCCAACTCGTAGAAGTCCCCTTAAATGAGATGCAGAGAGAAAACTTCAAGATAGAGGCAATGCCACCCATGAACTTGACCGAGGGTCACAGACTGAGTGGCCTACAGGGCCCAGGACAGTGAAGCTGGAGAAGCCTGCGGTGGGGCGTGCAGAAGGGCGATCACCCACAGGGGGCAGTGTCGCGCCACTCCGCGCCCGCCAGTCCGTGCAGTGAGGGAAGCTGCTCAGGGTAGCCAGCCCTGATTTTCCAAAAGAGGCAGGAAATCCAGATTTCTTGTGTGTGTGAAAATCTCCTAATTTCAGAGGTGGTCAGTGAATACTGAGGGTCACTCAGAGCCAGCCTGCACCCTCTGGGTTTTCTGAGATTTGGACAACATCATGTATGGATTGACAGGGAGAGCGCTTGGTCCAGGCAAGGAACTCTGTGTTCCCAGGGGCCAAGTTTGAGAGCCCAGTGGGTGGGGTGCTGGGGCTCTGGGGTGGGGGGTCTGCCTGAGCCAGTTGCTGAGGGAGAGCTTGGAGAGGGACCGAGAAGGCAGGCCCTTGTGATCGCAACGTTCTGTCCCCCTCCCTTCCCTGCCGCCACCCCTGTGTGTTTCAGAGGCCCCCCGGTTTGAGTCCATCATGGAGGACGTGGAGGTGGGGGCTGGGGAGACCGCACGTTTCGCCGTGGTGGTTGAGGGGAAACCGCTGCCGGACATCGTGTGGTTCAAGGTCAGAGGATGCTGAAGGCCTCAGTGGAGTCCTGGCTGGGGCTGGCCGGGAGCCTGGGGGGAGGGTGGGATTTCCTAGGGGCGTGGGAGGGGTCCTCCAGCCTTAGGAGGAGGGGAGCCTGGGCAGAGAAGAGCAAAGGTGTTGCCAGAGGTGTGGTTAGGAGAAGGAAGGGGGACCCAGGGGTGCTGGGTGACTCTGGTGGGGGTTGAGGAACCAGGGGACTAATTAGGGGGTGCAGAACTATTAGGAGGAGATAAGGGTGGAGCTGATTCTGGCTCCTGAGATGAGCAAGGCCCCTGGGGCAGAAATGATGCTGGGCCCTGGAGTAGAGAGGTCCTTGGCCCTGGGGTAGGGATGAGCCTGGGTCTCTGGCATGGAGGTCAAGCTGGGTCCCAGGGGGAGGGGAAGCCAGGCCCGGGCTGGAGGTGACGGCCAGCTCTGCAGGACGAGGTTCTGCTGACCGAGAGCAGCCACGTGAGCTTCGTGTACGAGGAGAACGAGTGCTCCCTGGTGGTGCTCAGCACCGGGGCCCAGGATGGAGGCGTCTACACCTGCACGGCCCGGAACCTGGCTGGCGAGGTCTCCTGCAAAGCAGAGTTGGCTGTGCGTTCAGGTGGGCTGGAGTTCAAGGGGAGAAGGGCAAAGTGCTCCCCCCCAGGAGTCCGATGTGAGCCCCTGGCCAGGAATCACTCCCTGGCCCTTCGCTCCTTGACTACCACGTCCTCCAGCCCCTGCACCCCGCATCGGGCCCCCAGTGTTCTTGCTGTCTTCCCTCTCCTCCAGCTGCCCTGCCTGTCCCAGTCTCTGCCCTCCTTCCTCCCTTGCCCTCCTCTCCTAACACCAGGCATCTCTTCCCAGCTCAGACAGCCATGGAGGTGGAGGGGGCCGGGGAAGATGAGGAGCAGCGAGGAAAGCGACTCAGCGACTTTTATGACATCCACCAGGAGATCGGCAGGTGTGGGCCAGGAGGGGGCGCGGTGTCTGGGGGCCACGAGAGGCTGGCTCTGAGCTTGGAGGGAGTAGAGAGCCAGGGCTGCGCCGGTGCCTGAGCCTGGTCCTCCCCCGTGTCGTCACCCAGGGGCGCCTTCTCCTACCTGCGCCGCGTGGTGGAACGCAGCTCCGGCCTGGAATTCGCGGCCAAGTTCATCCCCAGCCAGGCCAAGCCCAAGGCATCCGCGTGGCGGGAGGCCCGGCTGCTGGCCCGCCTCCAGCATGACTGCGTCCTCTACTTCCACGAGGCCTTCGAGAGGCGTCGGGGACTGGTCATCGTCACCGAGCTGTATCCTGGGACAGGCTGGGCGGGCGGGGACCCATGGCCTGAATCACTGGTCCTTGTAACAGCCAATTAGCAACATGTTTTACACTTTACAAAATGTCCGCAGTGACAGTTGGGAGTTCTGAAAGCATCTTATAAATACTCCACAGAGTGGAGTCTGGAGACTTCTGCAAAAACCAACATTTTTTTAGCCCATATTTTTAGCTTAAACTTACAGAGCACTCAATGTGTCACATAGCAATGGCAGTGTTCTAAGAGTTTTACAAATATTAACCTATTTAATCCTCACGTATACCTATCTCATGGAATTTTTTTTTGCTGAGGAAGATTCGCCCTGAGCTAACATCTGTTGCCAATCTTCCTCTTTTTGCTTGAGGAAGATCTGCCCTAAGCTAACGTCTGTGCCACTCTTCCTCTATTTTGTATGTGGGTCGCCACCACAGCATGGCCACCGATGAGTGGTGTAGGGCTGCGCCCAGGAACAGAACCTGGGCCACCCAAGTGGAGCGCGCTGAACTTAACCACTAGGCCACAGGGCCAGCCTCTCATAGAATTTTTTTATCCCCATTTTATGGGTGATGAAACTGAGGTATAGAGAGGTTAAGGAACTCACGCGAGGTCACAGAGCTAACAGTCATGTTGTTTTGATCATGAAAGGTAGCACAGTGTGTCTGAAGGTTTGAAGTGACCCCATTTCAGATGAGCGTCAATACCTGGCTTTACTGGGAAGGCTGTTTTCTTAAAGAATGGGTTTTATCCTTTCGTGAGAGCTGTGGTTAGCATGTTGGCTGGTCTGCTTGTCACCCCCACTAGCAGGGTAACCATGTCCTTCACACAGGCTTCCCAGTCTGCATGGTTAGAACCCCAGCCTCAGCAAAATGACTAATTATTACATATCATGGACCTTCTGGGTCATTCTCAAATAGAGTCAAGAAGCTCCATCCACAGTTAACAAAATTCTGCTCTAAGTTGATCCTTATAAACACCTCCCAGAGTGGGCAAGAGGAGGTGTTGTCCCCGTTCTACACCTGAGGCAACCTCAGCTCAGAGACGTTAGGTGACCTGCCTAAGATCCCCCAGCAAGTGAGAGTTCAAGCAGGGTGGTCCCATCTGTGCCCCCAGGCGACAGGGGAAAGGGTGAAGACAGAGTCGCTAACTGGTATCAAATGTGCTTTAAGGGGAAGGAGACCCCTGTGCTCAGTTGGGAACTGACTTGGGCTCTGGGGCTGGAGGGCACTGCCCAGGGAGGACCTGGCACTGGTCAGTGTTCTCCTTGATCTGGGACACAGATGCACAGAGGAGCTCCTGGAGCGGATGGCCAGGAAACCCACCGTGTGTGAGTCTGAGGTGAGGGCAGCGGGTGGTAGGGGTCAGATTGGGCACTGGCCTCCACCCACCTGAGTTCTGAGACCTGAGGGGTGGGTCCTTGACATGCCGTCTGTGCCCATGAATAGGCCAGGGGGTGGTGCTGGAGAGCACTGTCACGCAGGCACCAGAGCCCCTATCCCCCATCAGATCAGACCCCCACCCTGGAACTTATACTGTCCTCTGTAAATCTCAGCAGACCCACCCTGGCCCCGACTCTGTTGTTTCCCAGTCTTCCCCACATAAATATTCCTCAAACATTTCTCCCAGAAGGAGCCCCACTTAGATTCTATTCAGTCTCACCGCTGTCCTGCCATACAGGGCTGTACAAGTTGTGCACTGCACAATTCTTTTTATTATAATGTAAATGGCTCCCTCCTATATTTGTGCTCTGCCCAATCTGTGCAGCTGTACATGGAAGACTAGATCTCAGCAACCCCATGTTTCCACCCCCTCCACCAGCCATCTGCAGGCCTCTTTCCAGGCGTAGCCTGACCTCCTGCCACAGCCCTGGTGGTGATCAAGCATAATACCCCACCCTTCCCCCACGGACTCTGGGCCTCCTGTTTCCGCAGATCCGGGCCTACATGCGGCAGGTGCTGGAGGGCATATGTTACCTGCACCAGAACCACGTGCTGCACCTGGATGTCAAGGTGAGGGGCAGGTTGGGGACAGGGAGCAGGCACCCTGAGGGAGCCAGGTGGTGGGGTGTCCTCTTCGCTCTTTGCTCAGCTCCCATGCCCTGCCTTGTGTCCTGCAGCCTGAGAACCTGCTGGTGTGGGATGGTGCAGAGGGTGACGAGCAGGTGAGGCTCTGTGACTTCGGGAACGCCCAGGAGCTGACACTGGGGGAGCCCCAGTACTGCCAGTACGGCACACCCGAGTTCGTGGCACCCGAGATTGTCAACCAGACCCCTGTCTCTGGAGTCACCGACATCTGGTAATGTTGGATACAGGGCGGCTGGGGCCGGCCGGGCTCCTGCCCTCAGTGCCGTGCTGGGGACTTGCTCGCTGGCAGAGAGGAGCTTTCCTGACCCAGATTCCTTCTGACAGTTGGCTGGTGGCTTTGCTCACGGGGTCTCCTGCTCGTGTTTCTACCTGCCCCCCTTCCATCAGGGCCGACCTGGTCACTAAGGCCTCAGCCCTGTTGGTCCTTGGCTCCTTGGCCCCCCTGGGTGCTGGGCCTCCCCCTCTGCAGCCACCTTGCCTACCCCAGTGAGGCAGACACGGTCCCTTGGTTTCCTGGGCTGGCACTGCCATGACTCTTGACTCCTCCAGGGATGTCCAGACCTCTGGGTTCACAGTCCTCCCGAGGGAGGCCGCCCTGTGCCCATTTGTCGACGACTGTGTTCACGGAGAGGACCCTTCTCCATAGATGAGCTGTGGCAGAGAACTGCTCACTTTCAGTGGGAGCTGGGCGGTCCTCTTACCCATCCACTCTCCTTTCCCCACAGGCCCGTGGGCGTTGTCGCCTTCCTCTGGTAAGGACCCCTCTGCACCAGGACCCCTGTCTCCCATGGCCTCCTAGCAGGCCCACCCCTAACATTGCAGCCCACCCCTTCTCTTCCACACCCCCTACTCCTTCGTGCATGGCATGGGGCCTCATGTGCATGAATGTGGACGTCTCAGTCTGCGTGCCTCAGCTCTGTCTGCCACCATGCCCCTCCATAAGGGGCGGGCACACTGGGAAGCTGGACAGAGGGAGCCCAGTGCAGGCTCAGTGCCATTTACGCAGGGAACTACAAGGTCCCGAGTGTCCAGAGGACTAGAAGGGGGAGGCTCGGGCTCGGCGAGGGGGCGCTTATCCCCTTGGCACAGACTCCTCACCTCAGGGACAGGCCACAGCTGGAGGAGGGACAGAAAAGGTCCTCTGAAACATGGGCCCAGGGCAGGCACCTGGTTGCCCAGGTCTCAAGGCAGGTTGCCTCTGTGTGTGGGGGGGAGTGGGGGAAGGACAGGCAAGAGACGGAAAGACCACCTTCTACCCAGATTCACCAGCCTCTGCCTCCCCAAAGCCCCGGGGTCTCCACCTGTCCCCGCCCTATGTCCCCACTGGCATCCCATGTTGTCTCTGCCCTGTGGCCCTGCCAACCCCCTCACGCCTGCCCTCTCCACACCTGCAGTCTGACGGGAATCTCCCCGTTTGTTGGGGAGAACGACCGGACAACACTGATGAACATCCGGAACTACAACGTGGCTTTCGAGGAGACCACGTTCCTGAGCCTGAGCAGGGAGGCCCGGGGCTTCCTCATCAAAGTGCTGGTGCGGGACCGGCTGTGAGTAGAGGCCGAGAGGAGCCCCCACCTGCAGAGTCCTCCCTGCCCCCACGCTGCTGCCCAAGCTTCTGCCCTTAGATGTTCAACCCCCAACTCCTTAGAGCCTTGTGTTCCCAAATACTTATGGACTGACTGAATGAATGATAAATCCCTTCTTAATCCTCATTCCCTTACAGGAGGCCCAACGCAGAGGAGACCCTGGAACATCCTTGGTTCAAAGTGAGTCGAACCCCGCAAAGTAGTTGTAGGAAAGGTAGAGGGAGAGAGAACGTTATTAACAGCTCCATTTATTGAGGACCTACTGTGTGTAGTAACCATGATAGGCATTTTGTACACGTACGGTCTGTTAGCCTTACAACAGCTCAGCAAAGGAAGGTATTCTCCCATTTTGTTGATAAGGAAACTGAGGCTTAAGTTGGGGTATCATGGACTCCAAGGCACAGGTCTGGACCCCCTCATCCCGGGGGTCCTCATCGGGGTTCTTCCAGGCTCTCGAGGCCAGCCCTGGTCCTCCTCACTCCTGTGTGCCCACCTCTGTCCTGCCCTGGTCCCACACACTGGGGTTGGTGGCATCCTGGCGTCTTGGTTTTGAGGTCCATGTGGACAGAGTTCTCGCTCATTCATCCTCAGACCCCAGCACCACAGGGCACAGTGCCAGGTGTGGGGGGGTGTCAGCAAATGACGCAGAAAGAGCCACTAGGTAAACCGTCCACTGAGCGATGTGCTGGGCCAGCTAGAGGCTGAGGTCGTTCTGGTATCTGTCCTGGGAGTGTGAGCCTTGTCTCTCAGATCAGAAATGAGCTCTGGAAAGGACCGCCTGGGTGGGTGGCTGAGGGAAGCATCTGCCTAGGTCTGGCCCGCCGAGGCTCCACATGGGGCGCTGGCTCTGCACGGAGACAGATGGTGAGCTGGGGAGCGGGGCCCAGGCCAGGGCAGCCAGTACCTCCGGACAGGGCCCTGAGCCCTGGTGTAGGCTCTGACACCCACCCCAGGAGCCACCATTCTCTGCCTTTCCCTTGGTTTAGGGAATTTGTCCCTGCCTGGGCACCTTGGCTCTGGGACTTGTTGTGACAGAGCCAAGGGGAAGGGGACCCCCAGGAGCCCAGACTTAACACTGCTCGGTCCACTGTCCCCTCCTGTGGACTTTGTCTCTCCATTGCCAAACCCTGAGGGTCTAGGTTGACAGAGGCCTCTCCCTCAGGCTCTCTTTCCCGGGTTTGCAGACACAGGCAAAGGGCGCCGAGGTGAGCACGGATCACCTAAAGCTGTTCCTTTCCCGGCGGAGGTGGCAGGTGAGTCTGGCTGGGCCCTGCCTCGGTGCCTTCCGCCTTCTCCTGCAGCCTCCTTCCTCTAACTCTGCCTTTTTTCTATCATGTGCTGTCCCCTCCTGCTCATCTATCTTCATCCACTTTTGATTCTCTCAACCTGTCCCCGACCCTCTGCCTGCCCCAGGCCGCCTTTCCCGGGGCTGAGGTGGGACCTGAGGGGACCCTCAGGTCTGACCCTAGTACCCTGTCTGCAGCGCTCCCAGATCAGCTACAAGTGCCACCTGGTGCTGCGCCCCATCCCTGAGCTGCTGCGGGCACCCCCAGAGCGGGTGTGGGTGGCTGTGCCCAGAAGACCACCCCCCAGTGGGGGGCTCTCGTCCTCCTCGGACTCCGAAGAGGAAGAGCTGGAGGAGCTGCCCTCAGTGCCCCGGCCACTGCAGCCCGAGTTCTCAGGCTCCCGGGTGTCCCTCACCGACATTCCCACTGAGGATGAGGCCCTGGGGACCCCAGAGGCTGCGGCTGCCACCCCCATGGACTGGCAGGAGCAGGGAAGGGCCCCCTCTCAGGACCAGGAGGCCCCCAGACCTCAGGCCATCCCCTCCCCAGGCCAGGAGCCCCCGGCTGGGCTTAGCCCCCCGCGGGGAGAGCTCCGGAGGGGCAGCTCAGCTGAGAGCGCCCTGCCCCGGGCCGGGCCGAGGGAGCCGGGCCGGAGCCTGCAGAAGGCGGCGTCTGTGGAGCTGCCACAGCGCCGGAGCCCCAGCCCGGGGGCCACCCGCCTGACCCGGGGAGGCCTGGGGGAGGGCGAGTATGCCCAGAGGCTGCAGGCCCTGCGCCAGCGGCTGCTGCGGGGAGGCCCTGAGGATGGCAAGGTTAGCGGCCTCAGGGGCCCCCTGCTAGAGAGCCTCGGGGGCCGTGCCCGGGACCCCCGGCTGGTGCGGGCTGCCTCCAGTGAGGCAGCACCACACCACCAGCCCCCACCTGAGACATGGGGCCTGCAAAAGAGCAGCAGCTTCTCACAGGGGGAGGCAGAGCCCCGGGGCCGGCACCGCCGTGCTGGGGCACCCCTTGAGATCCCGGTGGCCCGGCTTGGGGCCCACAGGCTACAGGAGTCTCCCTCCTTGTCTGCCCTCAGCGAGGCCCAGCAGCCCAGCCCTGCGCGGCCCAGTGCCCCCAAACCCAGTGCCCCCAAGTCTTCAGAACTTCCTGCCACCACACCCAGTGATGCTCCCCAGCCCTCGGCACTCCAGCCTGCGCAAGAGAAGGCCCCAGAGGCCACGCCAGAAAGAGTCCCAGCCCCTAAGCCTGCACAGCCCCCTGTGGCTCTGCAAACCCCAGCGCCCCCCCTGACGCCCTATGCCCAGATCATGCAGTCGCTCCAGCTGCCAGGCCACGTGCCAGGCCCCCCGCAGGGCCCTGCCGCAGCTCCATCGGAGCCCAAGCCCCACCCGGCTGTGTTCTCCAGGGTGGCCTCCCCGCCTCCGGCAGCCCCCGAGAAGCGCGTGCCTTCAGCCAGGGCTGCCCCAGGGCTAGCCGAGAAAGCCCGGGTCCCCACGGTGCCCCGCAGGCCAGGGAGCAGCCTCAGCAGCAGCATCGAGAACCTGGAGTCAGAGGCCGTGTTCGAGGCCAAGTTCAAGCGCAGTCGGGAGTCGCCCCTGTCTCGGGGGCTGCGGATGCTGAGCCGCTCGCGCTCCGAGGAGCGCGGCCCGTTCCGCGGGGCCCCGGAGGAGGACGGCATGTACCGGCCCAGCCCGGCGGGAACCCCGCTGGAGCTGGTGCGACGGCCCGAGCGCTCCCGCTCGGTGCAGGACCTCAGGGCGGTCGGGGAGCCGGGCCTCGTGCGCCGCCTCTCGCTGTCGCTGTCCCAGCGTCTGCGGCGGACCCCGCCGGCGCAGCGCCACCCGGCCTGGGAGGCCCGCGGCGGGGACGGGGAGAGCTCGGAAGGCGGCAGCTCGGCGCGGGGCTCCCCGGTGCTGGCGGTGCGCAGGCGGCTCAGCTCCACGCTGGAGCGGCTGTCCAGCCGTCTGCAGCGCAGCGGCAGCAGCGAGGACTCGGGGGGCACGTCGGGCCGCAGCACGCCGCTGTTCGGACGGCTGCGCAGGGCCACGTCCGAGGGCGAGAGTCTGCGGCGCCTCGGCCTGCAGCACAACCAGCTGGCCGCCCAGGCCAGCGCCACCACGCCTTCTGCCGAGTCCCTGGGCTCCGAGGCCAGCGCCACGTCGGGCTCCTCGGGTGAGGAGGGGCAGAGCGGCGCGTGAATTGTGAACAGTGGGGAGGGAGTGGGGGTGCAGGGTTGGGATGACAGGCGCAGGGCATGCTGGAGAGGCTCTGCGAGCAGGAGAGGGAGAGGGACATCCACCAGAAAGAGGCTGAGAGGTGCTAGAGGCCCTGAGAGTGGACTTGGCAGAGCTGGAGCGGAGGGAGGCTGGGGCCAGGGGCTGGCATGGGAGCAGGCCAGGGTGGGGCTGAGGGCTGCAGGGAGGTGGGAATGTTGTGGGACCGGCTGGGCAAGTGCTCATGGTTCTGGGTCTTCCCAGCTCCTGGGGAAAGCCGAAGCCGGCTGCGCTGGGGCTTCTCTCGGCTGCGGAAGGACAAGGGGTCGCAGCCAAGCCTCTCTGCCAGCATCCAGGAGGATTTGGGTCACCAGTATGTGCGCAGTGAATCAGGTAATACAGGCCTGCTGGGTGAGTAACCCCCTCCCCTCCCCAGAGGATAGTCATAGCTGGGTGGGAGATGGACCACTTTGAGGAGCCAGGGCAATGGTGGGAGGGGCCTGGAGTCATGAAAACAACAACAATAATAATAATAGTCGCAGCTGCACTTAATTAGCAATGCCCAGAGTCCTATTAAGCACCACAAGCGCTCCCTCACCCAACCCTCCTACGCTGTTTAGGAACTATTCTTCTTATCCCCATTTCACAGGTAGGGATACAGAGGCTCAGTATGCTAAGTACCTTGTCCAGGTCACAGGGCTGGTAGTAAGTGGAGCAGCCAGAGAGATGGACTGTGTGACCCTCTGTAGCCAGATCCCAGAACGGGCTTTAGGATACCAAGTATGGCAAAATACCTTTCTTTGGCTGGTCTCCTCCCTCGTGGGAGACCCTAGAAGTTCTCTGTAACTGGGTGTCATTCTAAAGGAGCTGGGGATAGGGCTCCGCTGCCCCCACAGCCCCCACCACCCCCTCCAGATGTGTGTATGCTTGAATGTGCACTCAAAGATGCTCTTTCTCTCCCAGCCTAGAGGCCCACAATCTGGACTGTGCCCCTAATTCTCCATTTCTCTATAGCCCTGAACACCCGACTGTCCTGCCCTGTCCCCCTGCCCTGACAGAAGGTCCTTCTGCATGAACAAGCAGCCCTCTGGGCTCTTTGCTGGGGGGAGGGGGACTTGGGATATGCCCTGGTCTGTTTCTCTGTCCAAGGGCCCTGGGGCTACAGGGAGGGGGTATTTTCTACCTGGGGTCACGCGGTCCCCCACCTGAAAAAGGGGCATTACTCAAGGACTGCACACAAAGGCTTCCCAGAGCAGCATGCAGGGAAGGAGCAGGCCCACGAAGCCAGGCTGTGTGCAGTCTCTGTCAGTCACCGGTTCTGTTCTGCCCGTTTCCTGATAAAACTCCTCAGCCGTGCCTCAGCTGGGCTTGAGGTGACTGTGTCCCGCTTTGGCCAGGGGACTTGGTGCAGTGAGCAGTGGGGGCTGTAGTGAGTGAAGAGGAGGGAGGGAGGCCAGCTGGTGGGGACAGGGGTGGAGAAGGAGGAGGAAAGAGAGAGAGAGAAGCCAGCACAGAAGCCTGGGGACAGCTGATCCCTTCCCACCTGGGGCCTCCCTCCCAGCTCCATTTTGCTGGTGCAGCTGATTCCTGCCTGCTGAGGCAGTGTCCCCTTACCTCATCCTCTCCCTGCTCCCTGCAGGAAGAAGGCTGTCGCGTGTCCACTTTAACAGCTAGGGCTGGCCCTGGGGGAATGGGAGTGGGACTGGCAGAGCTGGGCTGGGGTCACCTTTCACCTCTCCTTCTGGCCTCTCTCTGTCTCCCCCCTACCCAGTACCCTCACTTGGTCTGGAGGCCCATTGATGAAACTGTATCACTTTATGGTGTTGGAGCCTCGGTGTGGGACCCCTCCTTGGGGAACACTGGGGTACAGTGGGAAAGGGGGGCACGCTGCTGTCCTGATCATCCAATCCTACTGAGCATTCCTCTCCTGCCCAGCTCATCCCCGCCCCCACTGCCTCCTGGGTCTTCAGACAGGGGGTAGCTGGGGCTCCCAGGGGTATCTACCTCTCAGCTTTCTCTGCCCACGTGAAAAAAATCTACCCCTTCCCTCCTTCCCCGGTGGCCAGGACCAGATTGGGAATTTTCTAGAGACATTCCCAGGGAGCAGGAATGCAGACCCTCATGGCACTAGGGAGCCACAGGCCGGCTGCACTGGGGCAAGACCTTGGCCCACCTGCAGCCTGGCCATGGGCCCTTCACCAGCCAGCTGTGAAGCCAGCTTTCCTGAAACAGCCTGTTTCTTTGGGGGTCTGCACGTGGCTCGCCTACTGGGCATATTAACAAGCTAATAATCACAACAACAATAAAAGCTAACCTTTACGAGCCCTTACAATATGTCAGACCCTAAGCACTTTGCATGCCTCTTTTAATTCTCACAATAACCCTCTGAGATTGGTATCATTATTTTTCTCAATTTACAGGCAAGACATGGTCCAAGGTCCTGCAGATACTGTCTCTTGCCCCTTCAAAAGTTTTCACCACTTAGCTGACCTGAAGGAGTGTTAGGAGGTCTAGAATCTTCTTCCCAGACCCCAGGGGGACGAGGGGTGGGGGAGGCTGACGCGCTTCTGGGGTCTGCCCCCGCTCTGCCTAGACTTCAGATCTTTTGAGATTGCACATTTTCATTGAACATTGTGTTCAATCCCGGAGTCTCTGCTCAGGTCACCAGCTCCTCTCACGTGCCCTATGGTGCCCTGGAGGGAGTGGGTATCGCAGGATCTTAGCCATTACAGTTTCTCAATATTTGTTTGTTTTTATTTTACTTAACAAATGCATATAGGGCACTTACTTAGTGCCAGGCCCTGCTGTAAGCGATTTACAAACATGAGGTAGTCAGCATCTTCAGGAGTCAGTGAAAGGAAAAGAGAGTTCCAAACACAGCCAGTGCCTGGGGAGTGTGATGCTCACCCCAGAGAAAATTCTCGAAGGCGTGGCGTGGGGTTTGACTTCCCACATCTGACGGGGAAGAGACAACCTTTCACTCTGCTCCCGAGCTCCCACATGCATCCTCTCCTACCTCAGCGGTAAGCGAGCCAGGGTCCCCGCAGACCCATGGCTGTCTTTGCTCCCCCTCCAGACTTCCCCCCAGTTTTCCACATCAAGCTCAAGGACCAGGTGCTGCTGGAGGGCGAGGCAGCCACCCTGCTCTGCCTGCCGGCGGCCTGCCCTGCACCCCACATCTCCTGGATGAGAGGTGAGGAGAGCGGCCTAGGCAAGTGGCCCCAAGGCCAGAGGATGCTCGGGGAGGGAGGAAGGTGGCAACCGAGGGGACCTGCAATGTGCTGCCTCACTCAGCAGCCCCTCCCCTTCCTCCCTGCCCCCAGACAAGCAGTCCCTGCACTCAGAGCCCTCCGTGATCATCGTGTCCTGCAAAGACGGACGGCAGCTGCTGAGCATCCCCCGGGCTGGCAAGCGGCACGCTGGGCTCTATGAGTGCTCTGCCACCAACGTCCTAGGCAGCGTCACCAGCTCCTGTACCGTGGCTGTGGCCCGTGAGCCCGGGGCAGGGACCAAGGGGGGGCAGTGATGGGGGATTGTGCGGTAGGGCTTGATGGACCCCAGACTGGGGCATGGGGGCTCACTGGGGTTCCCCTCTTCTCGCCAGGCATCCCAGGAAAGCTAGCTCCTCCCGAGGTGCCCCAGACCTACCAGGACACTGCGCTGGTGCTCTGGAAGCCAGGAGACAGCCGGGCACCTTGCACGTACACCCTGGAGCGGCGGGTGGATGGTGAGGGACAGGGCAGGCTGGTGGCGGGAAGGGTGGAAGGCGGAGAAGCCGAGGAGGCGAGTGCCCTCCCTGGGCAGAGGGCCCCTCCCTGGGCTCCTCACAGAAAGCACTGGGACGGGACGGCCCTGTGGCTTAGTGGTGAAGTGCGTGCGCTCTGCTGCTGGCGGCCTGGGTTCGGATCCCGGGCGCGCACCCACACACCGCTTCTCCGGCCATGCTGAGGCCACGTCCCACATACAGCAACTAGAAGGATGTGCAACTATGACATACAACTATCTACTGGGGCTTTG